CACGCAGGGGCAAGCCTTTGTGGCTTCCTTCTCCCCTCTTCACCCTGTCTCCTGTCCCTTGCTGTGCTTCCTCTGCTGCGCTTCCTCCTTCCGCCCGCAGGCCATCCTGCCTGTCATCGAGTCATTTGGTTTCGAAACTGATCTGCGCTATCACGCAGGGGCAAGCCTTTGTGGCTTCCTTCTCCCCTCTTCACCCTGTCTCCTGTCCCTTGCTGTGCTTCCTCTGCTGCGCTTCCTCCTTCCTCCCGCAGGCCATCCTGCCCGTCATCGAGTCATTTGGTTTCGAAACTGATCTGCGCTATCACGCAGGGGCAAGCCTTTGTGGCTTCCTTCTCCCCTCTTCACCCTGTCTCCTGTCCCTTGCTGTGCTTCCTCTGCTGCGCTTCCTCCTTCCGCCCGCAGGCCATCCTGCCTGTCATCGAGTCATTTGGTTTCGAAACTGATCTGCGCTATCACGCAGGGGCAAGCCTTTGTGGCTTCCTTCTCCCCTCTTCACCCTGTCTCCTGTCCCTTGCTGTGCTTCCTCTGCTGCGCTTCCTCCTTCCTCCCGCAGGCCATCCTGCCTGTCATCGAGTCATTTGGTTTCGAAACTGATCTGCGCTATCACGCAGGGGCAAGCCTTTGTGGCTTCCTTCTCCCCTCTTCACCCTGTCTCCTGTCCCTTGCTGTGCTTCCTCTGCTGCGCTTCCTCCTTCCGCCCGCAGGCCATCCTGCCTGTCATCGAGTCATTTGGTTTCGAAACTGATCTGCGCTATCACGCAGGGGCAAGCCTTTGTGGCTTCCTTCTCCCCTCTTCACCCTGTCTCCTGTCCCTTGCTGTGCTTCCTCTGCTGCGCTTCCTCCTTCCGCCCGCAGGCCATCCTGCCTGTCATCGAGTCATTTGGTTTCGAAACTGATCTGCGCTATCACGCAGGGGCAAGCCTTTGTGGCTTCCTTCTCCCCCCTTCACCCTGTCTCCTGTCCCTTGCTGTGCTTCCTCTGCTGCGCTTCCTCCTTCCGCCCGCAGGCCATCCTGCCCGTCATCGAGTCATTTGGTTTCGAAACTGATCTGCGCTATCACGCAGGGGCAAGCCTTTGTGGCTTCCTTCTCCCCTCTTCACCCTGTCTCCTGTCCCTTGCTGTGCTTCCTCTGCTGCGCTTCCTCCTTCCTCCCGCAGGCCATCCTGCCTGTCATCGAGTCATTTGGTTTCGAAACTGATCTGCGCTATCACGCAGGGGCAAGCCTTTGTGGCTTCCTTCTCCCCTCTTCACCCTGTCTCCTGTCCCTTGCTGTGCTTCCTCTGCTGCGCTTCCTCCTTCCGCCCGCAGGCCATCCTGCCTGTCATCGAGTCATTTGGTTTCGAAACTGATCTGCGCTATCACGCAGGGGCAAGCCTTTGTGGCTTCCTTCTCCCCTCTTCACCCTGTCTCCTGTCCCTTGCTGTGCTTCCTCTGCTGCGCTTCCTCCTTCCGCCCGCAGGCCATCCTGCCTGTCATTGAGTCATTTGGTTTCGAAACTGATCTGCGCTATCACGCAGGGGCAAGCCTTTGTGGCTTCCTTCTCCCCTCTTCACCCTGTCTCCTGTCCCTTGCTGTGCTTCCTCTGCTGCGCTTCCTCCTTCCGCCCGCAGGCCATCCTGCCTGTCATCGAGTCATTTGGTTTCGAAACTGATCTGCGCTATCACGCAGGGGCAAGCCTTTGTGGCTTCCTTCTCCCCCCTTCACCCTGTCTCCTGTCCCTTGCTGTGCTTCCTCTGCTGCGCTTCCTCCTTCCGCCCGCAGGCCATCCTGCCCGTCATCGAGTCATTTGGTTTCGAAACTGATCTGCGCTATCACGCAGGGGCAAGCCTTTGTGGCTTCCTTCTCCCCTCTTCACCCTGTCTCCTGTCCCTTGCTGTGCTTCCTCTGCTGCGCTTCCTCCTTCCGCCCGCAGGCCATCCTGCCTGTCATCGAGTCATTTGGTTTCGAAACTGATCTGCGCTATCACGCAGGGGCAAGCCTTTGTGGCTTCCTTCTCCCCTCTTCACCCTGTCTCCTGTCCCTTGCTGTGCTTCCTCTGCTGCGCTTCCTCCTTCCGCCCGCAGGCCATCCTGCCTGTCATCGAGTCATTTGGTTTCGAAACTGATCTGCGCTATCACGCAGGGGCAAGCCTTTGTGGCTTCCTTCTCCCCTCTTCACCCTGTCTCCTGTCCCTTGCTGTGCTTCCTCTGCTGCGCTTCCTCCTTCCGCCCGCAGGCCATCCTGCCCGTCATCGAGTCATTTGGTTTCGAAACTGATCTGCGCTATCACGCAGGGGCAAGCCTTTGTGGCTTCCTTCTCCCCTCTTCACCCTGTCTCCTGTCCCTTGCTGTGCTTCCTCTGCTGCGCTTCCTCCTTCCGCCCGCAGGCCATCCTGCCTGTCATCGAGTCATTTGGTTTCGAAACTGATCTGCGCTATCACGCAGGGGCAAGCCTTTGTGGCTTCCTTCTCCCCTCTTCACCCTGTCTCCTGTCCCTTGCTGTGCTTCCTCTGCTGCGCTTCCTCCTTCCGCCCGCAGGCCATCCTGCCCGTCATCGAGTCATTTGGTTTCGAAACTGATCTGCGCTATCACGCAGGGGCAAGCCTTTGTGGCTTCCTTCTCCCCTCTTCACCCTGTCTCCTGTCCCTTGCTGTGCTTCCTCTGCTGCGCTTCCTCCTTCCGCCCGCAGGCCATCCTGCCTGTCATCGAGTCATTTGGTTTCGAAACTGATCTGCGCTATCACGCAGGGGCAAGCCTTTGTGGCTTCCTTCTCCCCTCTTCACCCTGTCTCCTGTCCCTTGCTGTGCTTCCTCTGCTGCGCTTCCTCCTTCCGCCCGCAGGCCATCCTGCCTGTCATTGAGTCATTTGGTTTCGAAACTGATCTGCGCTATCACGCAGGGGCAAGCCTTTGTGGCTTCCTTCTCCCCTCTTCACCCTGTCTCCTGTCCCTTGCTGTGCTTCCTCTGCTGCGCTTCCTCCTTCCGCCCGCAGGCCATCCTGCCTGTCATCGAGTCATTTGGTTTCGAAACTGATCTGCGCTATCACGCAGGGGCAAGCCTTTGTGGCTTCCTTCTCCCCTCTTCACCCTGTCTCCTGTCCCTTGCTGTGCTTCCTCTGCTGCGCTTCCTCCTTCCTCCCGCAGGCCATCCTGCCTGTCATCGAGTCATTTGGTTTCGAAACTGATCTGCGCTATCACGCAGGGGCAAGCCTTTGTGGCTTCCTTCTCCCCTCTTCACCCTGTCTCCTGTCCCTTGCTGTGCTTCCTCTGCTGCGCTTCCTCCTTCCGCCCGCAGGCCATCCTGCCTGTCATCGAGTCATTTGGTTTCGAAACTGATCTGCGCTATCACGCAGGGGCAAGCCTTTGTGGCTTCCTTCTCCCCTCTTCACCCTGTCTCCTGTCCCTTGCTGTGCTTCCTCTGCTGCGCTTCCTCCTTCCTCCCGCAGGCCATCCTGCCCGTCATTGAGTCATTTGGTTTCGAAACTGATCTGCGCTATCACACGCAGGGGCAGGCCTTCTGCCTCTCTGTGTTCGACCACTGGGCTGTGGTGCCGGGGGACCCTCTCGACAAGAGCGTTGTGCTGCACCCTCTAGAACCGGCTCCTGCTCAGCACCTCGCCAGGGAATTCATGGTCAAAACAAGGCGGAGAAAGGTGAGGAAGAGAGGTGTGGGAAGGGGTTATGAGGGGTGAGATCCTGTGGGCCAGGCCTTCTGTGTGTCGGTGTTTGACCTCTGGGCTGTGGTGCCGGGGGGGACCCTCTCGACAAGAGCGTCGTGCTGCACCCGCTAGAGCCGGCTCCTGCTCAGTACCTTGCAAGAGAGTTCATGGTCAAAACAATACGGAGAAAGGTGAGAGGGGCGTGGGAGATGAGAGAGGAAGGGGTGATAGATTTGGGGTGGAGTCAGATAGGCTGGATTGCTTTTTTTGTTTGTTTTTTTTTCCTGCCTCTCAATGTTTGACCACTGGGCTGCCGTGCCGGGGGGACCCTCTTGACAAGAGCATCGTGCTGCACCCGCTAGAGCCGGCCCCTGCTCAGCACCTAGCCCGAAAGTTCGTGGTCAAAACGAGGCGGAGAAAGGTGAGAGAGAGGTGTGGGAAGGAAGGGTGTATGAGGGTTGTGAGACTGTGGGGCAGTCCATCTGTGTGTCTGTTCTTCCACCACTAGGCTGTGGTGCCGGCCGAACCTCCAAACAAGGCCGTGGCTCTGTGGCCACTAGGGCCCTTTGTGGAGGGTGAACACCCCAATTCTGCTGTAGTAGTTTGACAAACTCCGAGCCCTTTTTGGTTTTCTACCAATTTGTTGCTTCTCCTTGTTCTATCATTTCAGGGTATGAGCGAGGATGTGAGCATCAACAAGTTCTTCGACGATCCTATGCTTCTGGAGCTGGCTCGACAAGACGCGGAGCTGCAGCAAATCCTCTGAGTGGCTTGCTGACTTGGGTTGGTTTGTTCTTGCATAGTTTGGAAGGATCTCCAAGAACGTTGTTTTTGCCTAACATTGCTGATCACCTAGAGCCACCAATTTCGAGCTGCTTCCATAAAAACTTGCTAACCATTCTGTTTGTACAGGAGCCCCTCTTCTGATAGCATGATGTTTACATACTGTTGGTTATGATTTGTTCATCACTGAAAACAACGAATTGTAATTTGTGAAGCTCACAAGTACGGAAACCCGTCATCCTCGCTATGGTGAGCTTAGTGTTTCAGGCGTATTTACATGTTGTATCAGTTCGGTTAGATGACCTCCACAACATTTTTCAATTCGGGTCGCAGCCTCTGGGTCGTCTCACGGATCGAAGCTATTTGTCAGAGAAGTGTAGTTCAGTTCAGGGAAGGAGTTTTGTGCTGTACTTCTGACGTAACTTGATGCTGATTGCAACACTTGGAACGCTTGAAAATATGTGGAGCTCGTTTACAGTAAATCCTGGACATGCCTTAGCTACTGGAGTGCTGTTGCACAAATTTTGAAGCAGCATGTGAAAGCACCGTTAGAACCGCTAGAACGCACCCGACGCGATCGCGATGTCCGTTCTGGCGCGCGCTTCCCGCACCTCCGCGGTGTTTCGCACTGCATGCTCTCGCCTTGCCTCGCCGGCGATTGCATGGGGGCGATTACTGTCTGCTGGCGCATCCCCTGCTTCCGCCTCCCCATCTTCCGCCCCTTCCGCCGATGCCTCCGCAGCTCTCGCGGGTGATTATGGCGCAGGTCGCGTGCCAGGCGAAGCCGCGGCGTCGAGTGGGAGAGTCGCATCGCCGAGCGTTGATGGCGAAGAGGTGGCGAAGTTTGAGGCTCTCGCCAGCCAATGGTAAGCTCTGGCGAAAAGAGAAAGGTTAGATGGATTCAATTGGTTTACATAGAATGAATTGCTGATGAACACTCTTAGCTCCACTCCCAGCTCTCAAGAAAATCACATAGCTTTCGCAATGCGTTGCTGCGCTCCCCATCCCTCCAAATCCCTCCCCACCCAGGTGGGATCGCAGGGGACCTCACGCTCCCCTACATGCCATGTCAGCTGCCCGCGTGGCGTTCGTGCGTGATGCCATGTGTCGGCACTTTGGGTGAGAGGGGGGTTGGTTGAGAAGGAGAGAGTGTGTGTGTGCATGTGGGGGGGGATATTGCCTGTCCAGGGGTGCTACCGAGCTTTCAACACACTCCACTTGTGTGTGGAAAAGGGATGGAGGGAAGGGGTAGTGGTTGGAGAGGGAGGGAAGGGGGAGTGGTTGGAGAGGGAGGGAAGGGGGAGTGTTTTGAGACGTCTCAAAACATCTCTTTTATCACGTGGGAAGGGGGGTTATTTCGTGTTTTTAGAGCTCAAGGCCCAAATTGCACAAGACAAGATTACTAATCTTGCGATTGGGTTGAGTCCTCGAGGGTGGGGTGGTTAACTCAAGGTAGAGGGAGATGTTGGGAGGTCGGAGGGAATTATTTCGCTACGCTAGCCTGTGTTTCGCTGAGTCAGCAAACTTCAGGGGGCGCTGTCTGGTTGGGAACCGAGGGTCCCGAATTGCAGAGTTGGGAAAATTGGTGTTTCCAGCTCTCCTATTCGACAAAAAAAACCCTAGTCAATCAAATCACATCGCAACTCGCGTAACCACATTTCGCAACCCAAACAACACTCAAAACAGCAGTCCCATCAACATTATTAAGCTTGCCCCGCGCGCTCTGCAATTTGGGCTTAGAGCTTTAAGGGCGTCTAAGAGCAATTTCGCCCTCTTTGATTCCCACCAGCCCACTTTTCTTCCCACCCGCCCGTCAGTCTGAATGCAGATACTGCCCGACCGCTGGAAGGGCTGAGAGTGCTTGACGTGGGCTGTGTGTGTGTGGGAAAGGGGAGTGTAGTTTTTTGTGGGGCCGCTCGCTTATAAATGCCTGGTACTTTCGTTCCCTCCCCACCCGCCCGTCAGTCTGAATGCAGATTCTGCCCGACCGCTGGAAGGGCTGAGAGTGCTTGACGTGGGTTGTGGGGGCGGGCTTCTTTGTGAGGTGATTGCAACGGGCGCAATTTCGTGCTAATAACTCAGTGAACTTCCTTCATTTCCCTCAGTCCCCCTTCTCCCACACCCCCCCTTCTTTCTCGCTCCCTTGTTGTCTGTTACATTATGTCACAAACGCTGTTTACCTTTCACCTTGGCTTCGGGCTGATTACTTGTTTGTGGCTGGGTACTTCACCTTTTCGTCGCCGTTCTTTGCTTCATTTCATTGTTTGTAGCTGTTTACTTGTTTCTTTACCTCGCACCTCCCCAGCCTACCGCTGTTCTTTTCCTTATTGCAACCAACCCCTTTGGATCAGGCCCTCTCTCCCTTGTGTCGTTTTCTACAGCCGCTGGCTCGACTGGGAGCTACAGTGACAGGCGTTGATGTGACACGTGTCAACACACAAGTGGCTGCTGCTCACGCTGTAAGTCTCCTGTGCTGCACGTCCCTAGTGTTGCACCACGGCATGCCTCTTTCCTTGCTTTTTTACCAGCCTTTGAAAGGAGGTGTTCTTACTTCGATTTCTCTTGATCCACTCTTTGAGCTTCTGTATAAGCAGCCTCGCTTTCCTTAAGTCGTTCTTTGACCATGCTTGTCCATGTCAGAAAATTTGACTGTTCAATCTCTTGCCTTTTGGATTGGAGCGTCTCTCCATTCATTTTTGCTTCACGCATGCGTTGTGCGTGTGTTGGGGTTTTGAGTCTATCTAGAGATTGTCTCATCATCGCACTGGGATTGGGTGTCTCTTCATGTGTGCTTCATGTGTGTTGTGAGCGTGTGTGCAGGCAAGGGATCCTATCACCCGTTCCATATCCTACAAGTGCATCTCTGCAGGTATTATCTTTCTCTTAAACGCCGTTTTTCTTGGCAGCCAATTTTTCCGCTCGCTCATCATTTGCTCACTCCTCAGTCCTCTCCACTTTTTTCTCCCTGGCATTTTCAGCAGTCCGCTTTTCCGCTCACTTCACTCTCCTCCTTACCATCTCCTCGCTTCTCTTCTCTCCCCTTACATCCTTCTTATCACGTGCAGAGGAGCTTGCAGCACAGGGGGCTACTTTTGATGCCGTGCTCTCATTGGAGGTGAGGTGAGGTGCAGTGTGGTGAGGTGGCGCGAGGTGAGGTGCGGTGACATGTGGTGAGAAGATGATGAGGCGAGATGAGAGACGAGGTGAGATGAGACGAGGTGAGGAACTAACTGATAAGTTGATTTGAGGCCTAGCTGGGATCTTTGCTTTTGTTAGCCTAACCTGCAAGGCACGATGGTTTATGTGAATAGTAGAGCATTGGGGGATTGCAACTATAGGTGACTGGTAGCGAAATCGGAGCTTGGGGATTAACTTACTGCTCTTTCAGCTGGTTATTCCCTGCACGCATTTCCCCTCCTTCCTGCTGCTCTCCACTTTCTTCTCGCTGCTCTCTGCTCTCCCTGCTCTCGGCATTATGCGCAGGGGAATTCCAGCTTCATTTCGCCTCTATCTGTTGTGCTTCCCTCTCCCCTCGCTGCCCAGGTGATCGCTCATGTCTCGGACCCTGCTGCTTTCATCCGCACCCTCACAGCTGGCTATTCCCTCTCCCCTCTCCCCTCTCCCCTCTCCATATTTCATTCCCGGCTCTCTGTTTGCTGCCCAGGTGATCGAGCACGTGGCAGATCCTGCTGCTTTCATCCGCACTCTGACCTCTCTCTGCCGCCCCACTTCCCCCCACTCCTCAACACCACCATCAACACCACCACAGTCAACCTCCTCCTCTGCTCCCTCCCCCCTTGCTGAAAACTCTCCTCCCTCGCTCTCCTCCCTCCTCCCCCTCTCCATCCTCCAGTCCATCTGACGCATCCCCATCCCAACCCACCCCATCACAACCCTCCTTATCACAACCCTCCTTATCACAACCCTCCTTATCCGCGGCAACACCCGCACCCGCACCACCATCCCCAGCCCTTTCCAGCAATCCCGGAAGCGTGCTTTTCCTCTCCACCATCAACCGCACCGCTCGCTCCTTTGCCCTCGCCATCGCTGCTGCAGAGTACCTCCTCTCTATAGTATGTCACATCCTCGATATAGTATGTGTGCGAATTAAGGGGAGAAGTGGGGGGGGATGAGTGGGGGGGAAGGGAGGGGGGCTGTGTGTCCTCTTTCTCTCCACCATCAACCACACCGCTCGTTCCTTTGCCCTCGCCATCGCTGCTGCAGAGTACATCCTCTCTATAGTATGTCACATCCTCTCTATAGTATGTCACATCCTCTCTATAGTATGTCACATCCTCTCTATAGTATGTCACATCCTCTCTATAGTATGTCACATCCTCTCTCTAGTATGTCACATCCTCTCTTTAGTATGTCACATCCTCTCTATAGTATGTCACATCCTCTCTAATGTATACACATTCTCTTCACTGTATGTATGTGCTCTATATTGTGTGTATGTCCTCGCTACAGAATGTCCATCTTTTCTATTATACGTACATCCTGGCTTTTAAGTACTTGAAGCTCACCTTGATATTAACGGATTGTGGCAGGTCCCGCGGGGCACGCATGATTGGAACAAGTTCATCACCCCTCTGGAGCTGGCCCTCATGCTGCGACGAGCCCACTTCCAGGTGAGCCGCATTTGATTTGGGAGAAACACCTGTGAGAAAGTGACTTTTGTAATGACACCAGTACGGAAATAGGAAGCTTATCACCCCTCTGGAGCTGGCCCTCATGCTGCGACGAGACGAGCCCACTTCCAGGTGAGGTTCATCTGCTTCTGAGGGGTGCAGCCAAGCGAAGCACGGCGATGCCAAATGGCATTTGCGGAACAGAGCCAGGGGTAAGCGTACCTTGTCCCTGGATGTGCTCATGGTTAACGCTGTTGCTGCGACGAGCTATGTTTAGAGTGGACCTGTTTACTCTATCTCCAGTCGGTGGCCCTGTCCTCTGCCCTGCCGTCTGAGTCGTCTCAATGGTCCTGACTTACACTTGCTGCCCGCTCTTTCTCTCCCCCATCCCCTCCCTTGCTCTCCCTCCCGACCTGCCAGCTGGCAGAGACACGTGGCATGGTGTTCGACCCAGTCAGCAACAGGTGGAGCCTCTCTAAAGATGACGTGGCAGTCAATTACATTGCCATGGCAACTCGTGTGGAGGAGTAGAGGAGTTTAGCAGTGGGTTGGTTGGGTTGGGTTGGGTTGGGTTGGGTGGGGCATATCACAATCATGCACACACGGGTCGCTTTCACACCAGTGGTAAATGTCATGGATGGATGACGATGAATGGCTCTTACACTTGGTCCATAACATTATCAAATGTTACACACAAATACAAGGACCGCTTGCATCTAAACCACTTGTGGATTACTGGTATATCAACTCTTATTGGAGAGCTGAGTCATGTCTAAAGAAGAGCAAATCTGGATGACACCAGATTTGGACCTCCAGAGTATGTCTCCCCTATGATCTGCCCTTGCCTCTCGCTTACCAGATCTGGATCTTCGTACGTGTGCAAGTTGTCGCCCGGTAGAAGCTGTGCATGGTAGCATCAACGGTGGCACCATCGACAGCCAGCTCCGAGGTGATGAGCCCCTGTGAGCCGCTGCCTCTCACTTATCAGATTTGGATCTCTGAGTACTTCTCCCCTAGCGCACCCGCCTTGTGCTTCTGGTCCCTTATGTGTGCAAGTGTCGCCCGGTAGAAGCTGTGCACGGTGGCATCAACGGTGGCGCCATCCACAGCAAGCTCCGAGGTGATGAGCCTCTTTGAGCCCCTGTGAGCCCCTGTGAGCCCCTGCCTCTCATCTCACTTATCAGATTTGGATCTCCGAGTACTTCTCCCCTATCGCACCCGCCTTGTGCTTCTGGTCCCTTATATGTGCCAACGTAGCCCGGTAGAAGCTATGGACGGTGGCATCAATGGTGGCACCATCGACAGCCAGCTCTTCTTGAAGAAGCAGCATCAAATCTGGATCTCCGAGTACTTCTCCCCTAGCGCACCCGCCTTGTGCTTCTGGTCCCTTATATGCGCCAACGTAGCGCGGAAGAAGCTATGGACGGTGGCATCAACGGTGGAGCCATCCACAGCGAGCTCCGAGGTGATGAGCTCGATGAGCCCTTGCAGCACAACAGGAGTCACGTGGGGGTTGCCCTTGTCAAAGAAATACAGGTACCTGGGACGGTGGGAGGGAGGGAGGGGGTGAGGAAAACGGGGTTGAGGCCGTGCAGCACGACAGGGGTCACAGGGGGGCGGCACTGAGGGCTATCACAGCCATCGACAGCAAGCTCGATGAGGCCTTGCAGCACGACAGGGGTCACGTGGGGGTTGCCCTTGTCAAAGAAATACAGGTACCTGGGACGGTGGGACACACGCACGCACGCACGCACGCACGCACGCACGCACGCACGCACGCACGCACGCACGCACGCACGCACGCACGCACGCACACGCACACACCCCACACGCACACGCGCGCGCGCACGCACGCACGCACGCACGCACACACACACACACACACACACACACACACACACACACACACACACACACACACACACACACACCTGACTGCTGCTAAGTAGACATACACACATGCCATCATACTCACTTGTTTAAGATCTCCACCAGCAGCACCACGTGTGAACCAGGCACTCGTGCGAGTGCACCAATAACCACTCACTCTAGCAGCAGCGGAGAGTTGCTGAGCTGCCGCATTGCCAACCTTGAGCGCTGTTTTTAGACACAGCAGCACCACCCCGCACAAACCGTCAAGCGTACACACACGCGCACGCGCGCACACCCATATGCGCCGTACTACTCACTTGTTGAGAATCTCCACCAGCAGCACCACGTGCGATCCAGGCACTCTAGCAGCGGCAGAGAGCTGCTGTGCTGCTGCATTGGCAATCTTGAGAGCTCGCTTCAAGCAAAGCACCACCCTGACGCATGGGGAGCAGATAAGGGCGGGGATGGTAATGCATAGACGACACACTGGAGTCTGGAAGGTATGGAAGTGGTAGTACTTGGGATGAAGGAACTGGAGTATACAATTGGGATCACTGGAAGGGGATAACGGAAATGGGAGGAGTTTGAGACTCTGGGATACTGGGATACTATGATACTGGGGTACTGGGGTACTAGCTTTAACTCAGCCTAGAGGAGAACAGGATGAGTTAGGACCGTTGGATCCAAGTCGAAACTATCCCTTTATACTGGGGTACTGGGAAACATAGCAGCTAGTATGAGGCAGGAAAGGCGGAAAAGAACAGTGTGCATCTCACCTCTCGCCATCTCTCGGGCCGTTCTCCTCATCACTCCAGAAGAGGTGCGCGCAGGCACACACAGCGCGACACTGGTCCGCCTTCTTTAATAGCTTGGCCGAGTACTGGGGATGGCAGGGAGGAAAGGAGGAACAGAGGAAAGGAGGGGGGTTCTCAAAGTGGAGCCAGGAAGAGCATGTGGGCAACGGGGCACACAACATAAAATATACTTGGCAATGGGCAACAGGTATAAAATAACTATAACTGGTGGTAACCCTATGTTGCAGCCCCATGTGGCAACCGTATGCATGTGGTAAACCTATGTGGTAACCCTATATAGGACGGACCCGCAGTGGCCTTGTGAGTGAGGGTGTCTCGATTCACCTCCGTAAACACGTGGGTAGAAGAGTTTTACTGTGATGAGGTGCAGAGCGGTGACCTGCGCCCTACTTGGTAACCAGACCTGCTAAACATGCCTGGTAGCTCTACATGGTAACACTATGTGGTAACCGAACGTACCCCAGTGGTCTTGTGTGTGAGCGTGTCTCTGTTCTCCTCTGCAAACACATGGCAGCGCTGAAGCGTTCCAATTATCAGGTGCAGTGCGGTGACCTGTGCCTTGGAGTCCTGGTAGAGGAGAGGTGTGGAGAGAGGAGAGAGGAGAAGAGCAGAGGGGTTAAAGAGTTGGAACCAAGGAACGAAGGAACGAAGGAACGAAAGAACGAAGGAACCAAGGAACGAAGGAACGAAGGAAACAAGGAACGAAGGAACGAAGGAACCAAGGAACGAAGGAACCAAGGAACGAAGGAACGAAGGAAACAAGGAACGAAGGAACGAAGGAACGAAGGAACAAAGGGCATACATAGGTGGACGTGAAGGCTGGAACGGGGGAAGGTGATAGGGGGCAAAGGTTAGGATTTGCAAAGGCCATTGGTTGTATGTGAGCACGGAGAAGGATGCACATGCATAGCATGCTGCAGTTAGCACGAGGTACTCAAATCTCCTCCTCATAGATGACGAAGGCGAGCGTGAAGAGGTCTTAGAGCTGTCAGGAGCAGACAGGTGGGCTGCAAAGGCCTTATTTCCATCAACTCTTAATGTATTAGGACAACGAGACATACTCCATGTGAAACAATGGCGGAAAGGAGCCTGGTTACGCGCTAGCTTAGAACGTTGTTAAGAGAGCCAGTGTGAGCACGGAGAAGCATGCGCATGCTAATATGCAGCAGTTAACAGATCTCCTCAGATCTCCTCAGATCTCCTCAGATCTCCTCAGATCTTGTCAGATCTCCTCCTCATAGATGACAAAGGTGAGTGTAAAGAGGTCATACGCGATAGGCTCCAGGTCACACGCACATGCACGGCACACATACCATGCATGCATGCATGTATACGTACATGCGCACAGCACGAGGCACTGACCGAAATCTTCGTTTCATAGATGACGAAGGGAAGCATGAAGAGGTCATAGGTGATGGGCTCCGCTCCAGGCCACATGCACACACACGCACACCATCATGTATACCATGCACACATGCAGGCATGCACGCAGAACAGAACACAGTACTCACGGAAATCCCCTCCTCATAGATGACAAAGGCAAGCGTGAAGAGGTCATTTGCGATGGGCTCCGCTCCAGGCCACATGCACACATACCATGCACGTATGCATGTATATGTAATTGCACGCAGCACACACACCATGCACGTATGCTTGTATATGTAATTGCACGCAGCACACACACCATGCACATATGCATGTATATGTAATTGCACGCAGCACACACACAGCACGAAGCACTTACCGAAATCTCCTCCTCATAGATGACAAACGCGAGGGTGAAGAGGTCGTATGCGATGGGCTCAAGGCCACAAGCACTGGCCACCTGTGCGCACTCCAGGGCTAGCTTCAGAGCCAAGGGTGGAACGAACTCTGATAGGGTCTCCACGACCTGTGTTATTGTGGCACGTGGGATTGGGGGGGGGACAGGGCAGAGGGAGGAGAGAATATTGGCAGCAGTGGCACGCACTGGCCACCTTTGCACACTCTAAGGCGAGCTTGAGGGCTAATGGAGGGACGAACTGTCATAGTGTCTCTACCACCTAGCGTTATTCAGCACCTGGAATTATTCTCTAGCATCTCAGATCAGACGAGTGAAGCAGACGAACAAAGGGACAAGAGAAAAACCAACCTTATGAAGGAAGAGGAAGAGGGTGAGTGGGGTGACAGGCCCCTCCCCTGCTGCGGCAGCCGCCATAGCTGCTTGACTTGCCGCTGCCCCAGCCGTTTCCAGTGCTTGGTCTGCGCCTGTGATGCCCTGAGATAGCAGCTGCTGCACCAGCTGTGATGGAAGGGAGACGGGTGGTAGGGATTGGAGCATGAGAGGGGGTCAGAGCGGTGACGGTGCATGCCGATGCTGCAGCAGCCGCCATTGCTGCTTGACTCGCCGCTGTCCCTGCTGCTGCACCAGCTGCGATGGGGGTTGGACAGGAGCAACGAAAAAAGGTGGGCACTTCGGGACGTCTCAAGGATGTGTGAAGGGAAATTTGCAGGCAAAGGAGAGGGACGCCGTAGTCCGCGCAAGCAGCAAACAGAGACTTCGAACTGTGACACCCTGAGCTACCACTCCACACCACACTGCACTGCTTCATGATGAAACAGTCATCCGCTGTTTGCCGTAAAGTGGAGAAAACATCAGAGCTCAGTGTTGGGGCGCTGCTAGTGACCTCAAAAGTCAATGCGGCTACATGCAAAACAAGGGTGCTTGCTGAAAGGAAGTGATACATCATTGAAGAGAGTATAATTGCAGACTGTAACGAGTATACCTGCAGCGAGCAGAAGACGAGCGAGGGGATGGTGAAGCGCAGTCTCGACTGGCCCCCCTTGAAGAGATGCGTTCGGATGATGGCCAGGATCTGCGAGGTTTGGGCAATTGGAGGAAGGCGTGAAACAGAGAGAAGGCGCAGAAGATGGGTGAGATGGGGGGTGGCACAGAAGAGAAGAGGACCAGGGATGGTGAAGCGCAGTCTGGACTGGCCCCCCTTGAAGAGATGTGTTCGGACGATAGCTAGGATCTGAACGATGTGAGGGCAAACAGAAAGGAACAAGCAGGCAGGGCCGAGAAACATTGTAAGGTGCGGAGGATGGGTGATGGCAGCGCAACAAAGATGAGGAAGCTAAGATTGGTGAAGCGAATGTTCAGATCATTCGGCCTTACAGAGATGCGTTCGGTTAAGAGGGACTCGCCTGGAACTGTATTCTCGGGTCGGGATTGACCAGCAGGTGCACGAGACGAGCCACCAGATTCTGCTCCTCTGAGAAATCGTCCATATCCAGCTGGCGGAGGGAGAGGGGTGGGATTGGAGATGGGGTTGAGACGAAGAGAGGAAGAGAGGAAGAGGGGGGGAGAGGAAGAGGGGGGGAGAGGAAGAGGGGGGGAGAGGAAGAGATGAAGAGAGGAAGAGGGGGGGAGAGGAAGAGAGGCAGAGAGGAAGAGGGGGGGAGAGAGAAGAGAGGAAGAGAGGACGAGAGGAGAGAGGAAGAGAGGAAGAGAGGAAGAGAGGAAGAGAGGAAGAGGGGGGGAGAGGAAGAGAGGAAGAGAGGAAGAGAGGAAGAGAGGAAGAGAGGAAGAGAGGAAGAGGGGGGAAGAGGAAGAGACGAAGAGAGGAAGAGGGGGGAGAGGAAGAGAGGAAGAGAGGAAGAGGGGGGGGAGAGGGGAGAGGAAGAGAGGAAGAGAGGAAGAGGGGGGGAGAGGAAGAGAGGAAGAGAGGAAGAGAGGAAGAGAGGAAGAGAGGAAGAGAGGAAGAGAGGAAGAGAGGAAGAGAGGAAGAGAGGAAGAGAGGAAGAGAGGAAGAGAGGAAGAGAGGAAGAGAGGAAGAGAGGAAGAGAGGAAGAGAGGAAGAGAGGAAGAGAGGAAGAGAGGAAGAGAGGAAGAGAGGAAGAGAGGAAGAGAGGAAGAGAGGAAGAGGGGTGGAGAGGAAGAGAGGAAGAGAGGAAGAGAGGAAGAGAGGAAGAGAGGAAGAGAGGAAGAGAGGAAGAGAGGAAGAGGGGGGGAGAGGAAGAGAGGAAGAGAGGAAGAGAGGAAGAGAGGAAGAGAGGAAGAGAGGAAGAGAGGAAGAGAGGAAGAGAGGAAGAGAGGAAGAGAGGAAGAGAGGATGAGAGAAAGAGAGGAAGAGAGGAAGAGAGGAAGAGGGGAGGAGAGGAAGAGAGGAAGAGAGGAAGAGAGGAAGAGAGGAAGAGAGGAAGAGAGGAAGAGAGGAAGAGAGGAAGAGAGGAAGAGAGGAAGAGGGGGGGAGAGAGGAAGAGAGGAAGAGAGGAAGAGAGGAAGAGAGGAAGAGAGGAAGAGAGGAAGAGAGGAAGAGAGGAAGAGAGGAAGAGAGGAAGAGAGGAAGAGAGGAAGAGAGGAAGAGAGGAAGAGAGGAAGAGAGGAAGAGAGGAAGAGAGGAAGAGAGGAAGAGAGGAAGAGAGGAAGAGAGGAAGAGAGGAAGAGAGGAAGAGAGGAAGAGAGGAAGAGAGGAAGAGAGGAAGAGAGGAAGAGAGGAAGAGAGGAAGAGAGGAAGAGAGGAAGAGAGGAAGAGAGGAAGAGAGGAAGAGAGGAAGAGAGGAAGAGAGGAAGAGGGGAGGAGAGGAAGAGAGGAAGAGGGGAGGAGAGGAAGAGAACAATGGTACGGTCAAAGCATCTAGAACCACCAGATTGTGCTCCTCGGAGAAATCGTCCACGTCGAGCTGGCAAGAAAAGGGTAGAAAGAGAGGATAATAAAAAAGAACGAGCTGAGAGGAATTGCGGAAGAGACGAGAAGCGGAAAAAAAAAACAGGTGGGATTGGACAGAAAACAGCTTAAACTGATTTTTAAGAATTCCAAAAAAAACACCCTGAAAATACAAGCCACTGTAAGGGGGATGCAATGGAGGCGATAAGAGTGCAAGGGAGGGGGATGGGGAGGGGAGACACATGAGCTGTCCATGTGTTGCCTTGTGATTGAACCATTCTCTCCCTCCCACACATGCTCTCCCTCCCTCCCAGCATCACAGGGCCCACTTGTCACTTCCCAGCACTGTGTGCCAACAATGGCCCGCCCTTACAGCAAGCAAGCCCCGCACAATAGCCCACCTCATCCACTGGAGGCACCCCGTCCATGTCTTGAGTGAGGTGGCGCACCAGGCTCAGTAGACACTCCACCTGTAAAGGGGTGGGTGGAGGGGAAAGGGGAGGGAAGGAGGAGGTGAGGGATGTAAAGGACTGGGATGCTGTGAAATGGTGCACAAGGCTTTTGGTCTCTAAAAACGTCTAAAAAATGGCACACGAGGATTGCTGAGCCACCAGTGCATGCACACATGTTCTTGACACGTTACGATGGTAGCGTATCACTCAACTTCACCAGGTCTCCGATCATGGTCTCATGCTTCACCATGCTTGTATTATAACCACTATTGCCTTGCTAATCTAGTGGTCCAGTCCAGGAGCCCAATGACCCGCGCGTAGTGCCTCTGGAGTCTGGACTTCAGAGAGGCACAACCCTGAAGAGAAGATCAGATCAGCCCCGAGCCCTCAACGCACCTTCTCATGGTCTCCAATGGTTGTCTCGTGTTTGACCATGTTCTGTATAATGACAACAGTCATCGCCTTGTTCATTTCATGGTCCAGGTGCCCCATGACCCGCGCGTAGTGCAGCAGCTGAAGCACTGTCAGCACGTCCCTCCTCCCCCCCCCCCCCCAAACTTGCAAAGAGTATCAAAGCTCACCTTCTCCGGGTCGCCTATTGTCGTCTCATGTTTCACCATATTCTGTATGATGACAACAGCCATTGCTTTATTCGTTTCATGATCCAGGTGCCCCATGACCCGCGCGTAGTGCGGCAGCTGCAGCACTGTCAGCACGCCGCCCGGGCCGAACTTGTCCAGCGCTGCTGACAGCAGCGCCACCAGCTGCTTTGTTGTCGGGCTGTCCTTGGTCTGCCTCCGCGCGTCTAGGATCCCAACGCATGCGGCCTGATTAGGTCAAAAAAAGAAGCAGGTGGACAGGAAGGGAGACTGGGTAGGTGTGTGTGTTGCCAGCACCAGCACTGCCGACAGCAGCGCCACCAGCACCAAGTGCTGGTGAGATAAGACCTATTTTTAAGGTTCACCTCCTACAGCCGTCAGCAAGGTGAGGCTGGAGGAAATAGGTCTTATCTCACTAGCACTTGGCCGATGTAGGCGAGTCGGTCGGGATGGACCTGCAGCACTCTCGAGCACTTCCTGCTGACACACACTTTCAATTTTGACTGAAGAACACACACAGCTGTAGGTGAACCTTAACACAGCAACTAGGTCGTATCTCACTAGCACTTGGTCAATGTAGTCAAGGCGGTCGGGATGCACTCGCAGCACTCAAACACACTTGGTGCTGTCATGCACTGTTCATGTCAACTGAAGAGAAAACACTGCTGGGCGATTTTTAGGAGGCGTGAGCTCACCAGCACTTGGTCAATGTAGTCGAGGCGATCAGGATGCACTCGCAGCACAAACTGCAGCAGAGCGAGGTGCAGGCTGACGACGCCCTTCAGTGGCATCTCCGTCTGCGCCTCCATCACCTGATAGGGGGAAGGGTGTTTTGGGGAGGGTGACACGCGTGACATGTAGCAGAGGCAGGAAGGAGGGAGCAGGGAAGGATGCAGTGAGCAGTGAGAGCCTGTTGAGTTGACTCAAAAGGCAAGTAAACCCCCTTCCAACTCCCCTTCCACAGCCCCCCTTTACAGCCCCCCTTGCACACCTCCTCTACCCCCGTCAACAACCCCATCCTCCCGACCTTCCTCACCTTTCTTACGGCAGAGCTGAACTTGGTAAACGCGTCCAACTCCGGGAAAACACGCCTAAAGGGCAGCCTACCTCCCTCCAATCAGTCACCAACTGCACCCCGCTCTTCCCCCCTGAACAACCCCACGTACCCCTTATTCGGCCCCCCTCACCTTGCTGACAGCCGAGTTGAACTTGGCAAATGCGTCCACCTCCAGGAAATGCGGCAAGGCCTGGTGGGTGGGAGCAGCAGAGAAAAGAGAAGAACAGCTGCTGCGTGAGCGAGGAGAGGTGGAAAGTGTGTGGGAATGAATGTAAAATCACCAAGAAGGATCTGAACTGACTGAAAGACGGGGCGCATGACGACTACCATACCATGATGAATTGCTTGCAGGCTGAGGGGCCAAACCTCAAAGGGGGTTGCTGCACGGGGGGAGGTAGGCTACCCTTTAGTTGTGACTCCACGGCTATGAGCTTATTCCAAGAATGGCCCTGCACTCACGTTGGCGTTCTGAACCTCTATCCATGCAGGTTGACTTGACTTTTGGGAATTTTCAAAAAGTCACTCAGAGGGTTGACAGGTCGGGCAGTCCATTTGCTGACACTGGGCTGTAGCTCAGGACACGCCCCCATCCCAGGAGGGGGCGCGGGATATGAGTTAGATCCATGAATGTGTGTATTCCCACGGACTCACATCAGGGTTTTTATCCATGAAGGTGGAGAGGCGATCCATCAATTGAGACATGATGGTGCGCACGTCAACGCTGGGCCGCACTGCAGCTCAGAAAACGCCCCTAGGAAGGAGAGGAACTACATCACACCGCGTAGGGGCACTGGCCACTCACATTGCAGGGATGCTAGCACTCACATCGGGGTTCTTATCCATGAACGTTGAGAGGCGGTCCATGAGTTGAGACATGATGGTTCGCACGTCAACGCAGGGCTGCATCTCAGGACACGCCCCCAGGAGGGTAATGGTGCTAGATCTATGTCACGCCTATACTCACATAGCCCACATCACACAGAGGAAGGCTGCTACTACTCACATCAGGGTTCTTATCCATGAATGTCGATAAGCGGTCCATGAGTTGAGACATGATGGTTCGCACGTCAACACTGGGCTGCAGCTCGGGACACGCCCCCAGGAGTGTCTCAAGGGTGTTGAGATGGAAGTCGTCTGGAAAGACCTGAATGAGGCAGTCCATTAGGTACTGCTGAGCTATCTCGTCCCTGCAGTTCACGATCTGAGGGATGGAAGGGACAGGAATGAGGTGAAACACGTGAAAGAGGCACCCCGCAAGGTACTGCTGGGCTATCTGATCCCTGTAGTTGACGATCATAAAATCACACATGGCACTAGGACGATACAATGCAATTTCGCCACATACAAGCCTCATTCATAGTCATTTGCTTGTTGTAGGATGTGAGGCAGCAGAGCAGTCGTTGTACATGTTTAGAGTCACTAAATCTACACTCCCCCCATAGACATTCGCACCTGCTCGAGGATGCGAGGCAGCACTACGGTCTTGTACATGTCCAGATTCACCCCCTCTAGCTGGCTCAGCAGGTGCAGGTTCTTGCCCACCTGCAGGGGGCAGACAGCAAAAGGGCAGGAGTGGAAAAGGGGAGGTTTGAAGGAAGGACAGTAAATAACACAGAGGGTTGTCAGAAGCGACTCCTGAGACGCCTCAAAGGGAAAAAAGAGGACACTAAAATGCATGAAACGTTGGCAGAAACGACCTTTGAGACACCTCAAATGATGAAAAGCACGGTGAATCACATAGGGGGTTGGCATAAGCGGTTTGATATGCCTCAAAAACAAAAGAGCAGAGCGAGGGAAGGGAAAAGAGAGTGGAAGAGAGGTTGGCGAAAGGAGGTTGGTGAAGAGGGGAGGGAGAGGGAAGAAATGCGAATTTGGTGTTGATTCAAAAGGAAATTAATGAAGTTGGGAGTACTCACTAAGTCTCTGAGCTCACTGCACTCTCGCCATTTCAAGCGTCACTCACCACCAGGTCTCTGAGCTCTCTTCGCTCCTGCTCGCGCTTCTCCCTATCAGTGGCGGGGCCCTGGTGCTGCATGCGCACCCACACTGCCACGGCCCATGTCACCATGCCCCACACACACAGCTTGTTGTTCATCTCCTGACGTGCACGCCCCACAATATCCACTCACCAGGTCTCTCAGTTCCCTTCGTTCCTCCTCGCGCTTCTCCCTCTCAGTGGCGGGCCCCTGGTGCTGCATGCGCACCCACAGCTTGTTCATTCCTTTCCTGAGGCTTTGCAACAGGCACTCACCGGGGGCAAAAGAATTGACTCACCAAATCCCTAAGCTCCCTGCGCTCCTGCTCGCGCTTCTCCCTCTCGGTGGCAGGACCTTGGTGCTGCATGCGCACCCACAGCTTGTTCATCTCTGTGAAGTTCTGCAGCAGAAACTCCACCGCATCCACCACTGTGCCGCCCTCGCTGCAGGGCCACAGACACAGGCAGGGGTTGTTATGGGAGGAGGAAATGGAGGGGGAAGGATGGAACGGAAGGTGGTGTCTGAGGTTCTGCAGCAGAAACTCCACTGCATCCACCACTGTGCCACACCCTCGCTATTGCCACACAAAAGGGGAGGGGGGTGCGGAAGAGGAGGGGTGGGTGGGGTAAACTGAAGTTTTGCGGTAGAAACTCAACTGCATCCACCACCGATCCCACCATCGCTATTGTCACAAGCGAGTGATGGAAGGGGAGTGGGAAGCGGGAAGGGGAGGGGGTGTTAGTGGACTTGGTTTGAAGTTCGGCTCGTCTCAGCTTTGTCTCAGCTGCGCTGGGCGAGATTAGCTCTGAGAAACAGTCCTCGGATGAGGTGCTGCCCGCCCTTGCCTTGCACATCTCACTTCCCCTTACGATCAACCACGCACGCACCACTAGGTTCATTCTCACGTCCCCTTCATACTCCGACCCGGTGTCAGGCAGTTCATCCCTGGAGCACTGGGTGAGGTGCGCTCGCAGGAACAGCCCGCGGAATGGGATGCTGCACGCCCTTTCCTTGCACACCCCACCACTTCCCCTTCCGACCAACCACACCACTCCTTTCATTATCACTTACCCTTCATCTTCTGACCCGGTATCAGGCAGTTTATCCCTGGAGCACTGGGTGAGGTGCGCTTGCAGGAACAGCCCGCAGGTGGGGTGCTGCACACCCTTTCCTTGCACACCCTCATCTTCCCACTCCAAACCCCATTCGCCCCACATGTACACGTACCCTTCATACTCAGATCCTGTATCAGGCAGTTTATCTCTGGAGCACTGAGTGAGGCGCGCCTGGAGGAACAGCCCGCAGATGGGGTGCTGCACGCCCTTGCACACCTCATCTTCCCACTCCAACTCCTATTCACCCCTTGTTGCACACATACGTACCCTTCATACTCAGATCCTGTGTCAAAAAGTTTATCTCTGGAGCACTGAGTGAGGCGCGCCCGGAGGAACAGCCCACGGATGGGTTGCTGCACGCCCTTGCACACCTCATCTTCCCACTCCAACTCCTATTCACCCCTTGTTGCACACATACGTACCCTTCATACTCAGATCCTGTGTCAGGAAGTTTATCTCTCGAGCACTGAGTGAGGTGTGCCCGGAGGAACAGCCCGCGGATGGGGTGCTGCACGCCCTTGCACACCTCGCTCAGGTCGCTGAGCACCTCCTTGGCTGGCCCCTCCTTGCTGCGAATATACACCGCCCCCACCGTGCACAGAAGGTACCTGGGAGGGAGAGGGTGTGGGAGGAGAAGAGGGTTCAGGGTCGCGCCACTATGCCTCAACAACGCGCAGGTCGCTCAGCACCTCCTTGGCTGGCCCCTCCTTGCTGCAAATATACACCGCCCCCACCGTGCATAGCAGGTACCTGGGGAAGGAGAGGGCGGGTGGAGAGGAGAAAAGAAGACGGAATGGGCCCTCTCAACCCACCTCGCTCAGGTCGCTCAGCACCTCCTTTGCCGGGCCCTCCTTGCTGCTTCGTATTCTGCCTCGACTGTGCACAGGAGGTAGAGGATAGAGTGGGGAGTTTTTGAGAATTCTCAAAAACTCCCTGCAACGTCAAGGTATCTGGAGGATAGAGGGGGGAGGGATGAGGAAATGGAGGTGGGTGGCGGGGTGGCAGCATTCAGTCCTGAAACGGGTGTGTGTTTTGGCAGGTTAACGGGCCCACAACAAACCCCCGAGCAAGAGGGCTGTTTTTCAGGCAATTCCTGCTCTTGCGAAAGACCGTCCAAACGTCACGTGCATTTCATTTATTGGTAACATGGATGAGAATTATTAATGAAGGCAGAAAGAAGAGAGAACTCACAGCCTGGGGACGATGTTGCTGGCGTGCTGCACGAGCTCGTAGAGGTCCACACAGCTGCGGCCTCACGTCGCACCACACAACACACCACCACAACGTGCAGCACGCACGCTGCACGCAGGCGTCTGCTGAGGCGTCTAAGGACTCACAGGCGGGGCACGATGTTGCCGGCGTGCTGCACGAGCTCATAGATGTCCACACAGCTCGCCACACTCCACACAGCTCGCCACACTCCACACAGCTCGCCACACTCCACACAGCTCGCCACACTCCACACAGCTCGCCACACTCCACACAGCTCGCCACACTCCACACAGCTCGCCACACTCCACACAGCTCGCCACACTCCACACAGCTCGCCACACTCCACACAGCTCGCCACACTCCACACAGCTCGCCACACTCCACACAGCTCGCCACACTCCACACAGCTCGCCACACTCCACACAGCTCGCCACACTCCACACAGCTCGCCACACTCCACACAGCTCGCCACACTCCACACAGCTCGCCACACTCCACACAGCTCGCCACACTCCACACAGCTCGCCACACTCCACACAGCTCGCCACACTCCACACAGCTCGCCACACTCCACACAGCTCGCCACACTCCACACAGCTCGCCACACTCCACACAGCTCGCCACACTCCACACAGCTCGCCACACTCCACACAGCTCGCCACACTCCACACAGCTCGCCACACTCCACACAGCTCGCCACACTCCACACAGCTCGCCACACTCCACACAGCTCGCCACACTCCACACAGCTCGCCACACTCCACACAGCTCGCCACACTCCACACAGCTCGCCACACTCCACACAGCTCGCCACACTCCACACAGCTCGCCACACTCCACACAGCTCGCCACACTCCACACAGCTCGCCACACTCCACACAGCTCGCCACACTCCACACAGCTCGCCACACTCCACACAGCTCGCCACACTCCACACAGCTCGCCACACTCCACACAGCTCGCCACACTCCACACAGCTCGCCACACTCCACACAGCTCGCCACACTCCACACAGCTCGCCACACTCCACACAGCTCGCCACACTCCACACAGCTCGCCACACTCCACACAGCTCGCCACACTCCACACAGCTCGCCACACTCCACACAGCTCGCCACACTCCACACAGCTCGCCACACTCCACACAGCTCGCCACACTCCACACAGCTCGCCACACTCCACACAGCTCGCCACACTCCACACAGCTCGCCACACTCCACACAGCTCGCCACACTCCACACAGCTCGCCACACTCCACACAGCTCGCCACACTCCACACAGCTCGCCACACTCCACACAGCTCGCCACACTCCACACAGCTCGCCACACTCCACACAGCTCGCCACACTCCACACAGCTCGCCACACTCCACACAGCTCGCCACACTCCACACAGCTCGCCACACTCCACACAGCTCGCCACACTCCACACAGCTCGCCACACTCCACACAGCTCGCCACACTCCACACAGCTCGCCACACTCCACACAGCTCGCCACACTCCACACAGCTCGCCACACTCCACACAGCTCGCCACACTCCACACAGCTCGCCACACTCCACACAGCTCGCCACACTCCACACAGCTCGCCACACTCCACACAGCTCGCCACACTCCACACAGCTCGCCACACTCCACACAGCTCGCCACACTCCACACAGCTCGCCACACTCCACACAGCTCGCCACACTCCACACAGCTCGCCACACTCCACACAGCTCGCCACACTCCACACAGCTCGCCACACTCCACACAGCTCGCCACACTCCACACAGCTCGCCACACTCCACACAGCTCGCCACACTCCACACAGCTCGCCACACTCCACACAGCTCGCCACACTCCACACAGCTCGCCACACTCCACACAGCTCGCCACACTCCACACAGCTCGCCACACTCCACACAGCTCGCCACACTCCACACAGCTCGCCACACTCCACACAGCTCGCCACACTCCACACAGCTCGCCACACTCCACACAGCTCGCCACACTCCACACAGCTCGCCACACTCCACACAGCTCGCCACACTCCACACAGCTCGCCACACTCCACACAGCTCGCCACACTCCACACAGCTCGCCACACTCCACACAGCTCGCCACACTCCACACAGCTCGCCACACTCCACACAGCTCGCCACACTCCACACAGCTCGCCACACTCCACACTACTACTATGTGCGGCATGCATGCATACATGCAGGGAGCAAGACTCACAGGCGGGGCACGATGTTGCCGGCGTGCTGCACGAGCTCGTAGAGGTCCACACAGCTGCGGCCGCGCATCTTGTGCTCGTCCCAGAAGAACGCCTCCAGGTTCTGCAGCTCGCCACACACCACTATGTCTGCCACGTGGAAACGGTATGAACCCACATGCACATGCACACATGGCGTACACGTTAGGTAGAGGCCAGCCCCTGACTGGCACGTGACAGGCCGAGGGCTAGCCCTGTTCCCTAATAGATTTGGTACTTACCCACTCTATAGTGAGGAACTAGACAACTCCATACTAGGATTAAAATCATAGGAAGGACTAGCAAGAAACGAACTTCGTGTTAAGAAGCTCAGTGCAATATTTTTTTTTGTATAAAACAAGTCAATTATCACGAGCGCAGCGACAGAGGAATCAATACTGAGCGACCGTTACCACATGAATACATACAGAGCTCGTAGTACTTCTGTGGTGCAAGCTTGGATGTGCGCAGCTCAGAAAGCATCTGTGCAGAGTACTTGAGGGCCTCTCGTAGATTGCCTGAGTCCTGAGAGTCAGTGAAGCACGTGAAGGCAGGCAGGGGGAGGGGAGGTGGTTGATGGGGTTAAGATAGGAAGGGGAGAAGGAGCATTTGTGCTGAGTACATGTGAGCCTCACAAAGTTTGCCCGAGTCTGCTTGCCGGAGCGCATCCGCCAGCCATGAGGGATTGACATGACCATTTTAATTCAAAGCACCAGTCGCTCAAGAGTCGACTCACGAGTGCTCGGCGCATATAGAACGCTTGCTGCTTGACGACGTTGAGAGGATCCGCCAGCTATGAGAGATTGACATGACTCGCACTAGGGATTGACACGTAGATCGCTCACGAGTGTTCTGCGCATGTAGAAATAAAGAGTCAGCTCACGAGTGCTCGGCGCATGTAGAAGGCCTGCTGCTTGACCACGTTGAGAGCATCCGCCAGCCATTTCTCCTGCTCCTCCGCTGCACTCAGCTTCACCTCCACCACCTGAGAGGCGCACGGGGGCATTAAAAGAGACATGAAATGAAATGAAACAGACTGTAGAATGGCAGCTATTACACTCGAGGGCATGTAAAGTCTGGACTCTAGAGCATTGGCCAGCAGCCATTTCTCCTGATCCTCCGCTGCACTCAGCTTCACCTCCACCACCTGAGAGACACACGGTGAGAGCATGACGTGCAACGGACATGGCAGAAAAACGAAAACAGGAACGAAGCCGATCCAGAAGGCGAGCATTAGACGATGCCAAAGCAACAACCGTTAACACAACATTTAAGGAGATTAGCGAGACTAAACTGTGATGGACGAAAGCTGCAGTAAGTGAGGGGAAACAAACAGGTTCCTGAACGGTGCTGCTGGATTCAACCACAGGCACCAGAGATCTCAAGTTAGCTTGCTGAGGATTCACCACAGAAGTGACTTTTAAGTATACTAAGAAGTAGACCTCGTGCTGTGGACTCGACCACAGACACCAGGGCTCTCAAGGAGACTAGATTTGAGGAACCGTGCATGGGAGATAGTAGTAGGATCAACAATTTGAGAGAGAAAAGGCCAGCGACGGTTTCTAGCCTAGTAGCCCAGAATAGCCCAGCCTAGCCTGGTCCACCAATGCCTAGTCGTACCTTGTTCACCATGAGAGCGAGCTCCGAGGGAAGCTAGGTCAACTCGACAGCCAAACTGACGGAAACGCGGCGGGTTAGTCGTACGATCAACAGCTGAAAATGAGTACGGCTGGACTGCAAGAAAATCAGCCGGCTGATCGTACGGTGCACCGAGAAACCGGGAAAATCAACAAGGAACGGCGTTTCAGAAACGAGGTTCGATAGAAGATGTCCAAGTACTAAGCCACTCTAGGTGAGCCACCGAATACTCGACGCGCGTTTTCTAAGTTAGCGACTGTATCTGGATCAAGGAGCCTAGAAGAATGATATGCATGTGATGTAGAGAGAGAGACACACCACACTGACAAAATTCACTCGCTCCTAGGAGATGGCTAAAACCAGCTCGAGGGGCGTATTTCCTGATTACGTGAGTCAATTCAGCTGCAAGTCGAACTGGCACCAATCTGGAATTTAGCCCACTTTCAAGGAATTCGGCCCGCAAAAATGTGACGTTGACTGGTGTGTTTTGACACAAAAGGGACACAAAAAAGGTCAAATCGCAAATGTGTCGAAAAAAGATCGAACTATAGATGCTCCAAGCACGAAACCTAAATATAAATCCCGCCCTAGATCTGCGCAATTTCAAGTGGGAGTGTTGGCGGCTTTTCCAAAAGTTCCCCAAGGTATTTTGTAGCATAACTTGCGCAGGGAGGTTAAAACGCGTACAGGCCCTAAATTTCGGCTCTGTCGGCCTTTAGCGCCAAAACTCCCCCCCGCGCTGCGACTACGGCCAGATCATGGCTGCTGCACGGGTGAGGCGTCTTCCCTTCCATCACCACTCCCGTTCGTCGCCTCCAGTTCGATATTTAAGAACCTCATGTGGCTTTCCACATAACGATGGTTCGCCACTTCTTAGCGAATGGAAACCCTAATTCTAGAAATCCTTCCCGCGCGGGTTTTTTTCCTCGAATAGCCACTTCTCGGTCCCCGAGTCGTGCCTCTGAGAGACTCGTCCACGTTCTTGATCGTGCACTGGTGTCCACGTTCCAAAACTTTTCATGCCCCTATGATCAATCCTTTCTCATCGCCTACACGATCATCGTCCCTCATTAGCGTCCCCCACCATGTGAACTTGTATTGTCTCCCCCTTGTCCGAGAGGAGGGTTATTTTGAACATTTTTTTTTTTTTTTCATCCAATATCCCCGTTACTCCCCTCCCATCCACCCCCTCCCCAACTCCTGACCCTCCCCACCCGTCTCCCGCCCCTCTCCCGTCCCCCTCCCTGCTTTCCCGTCACCTCCCCACCCACTTATAAACATCCGTTCCCCTATCTCCGCATCCCCAGCGCGCATTCGCCGGCCTGAAGCCAGAAAAGGTCTCTGGGTGGCGACTATTCGACGCTAAGGACCAGGTATGCTGGCAAAGACTAGGTATGGTGTGACGGTTCAGGCTTGGTAACACGAACCAGGTACGCTCGTGGGATGCGAGGACGGGTTACCTTGCTCTGGTGCTTGTTCGCTTGGCGTCGCTGCTGTCAGTGGTGCTGCGGGGAAAGACAAGCTTATATACAGTACTTGCCCTTCTGCTTTCATACATCGTCCATACACCCAACCAACCCCATCTTCCGTTCACCCCATCTTCCGTTCACCCCATCTTCCATTCACCCCATCTTCCGTTCACCCCATCTTCCATTCACCCCATCTTCCATTCACCCCATCTTCCATTCACCCCATCTTCCATTCACCCCATCTTCCGTTCACCCCATCTTCCATTCACCCCATCTTCCATTCGCCCCATCTTCCGTTCACCCCATCTTCCATTCACCCCATCTTCCATTCGCCCCATCTTCCATTCACCCCATCTTCCATTCACCCCATCTTCCATTCACCCCATCTTCCATTCGCCCCATCTTCCATTCACCCCATCTTCCATTCACCCCATCTTCCATTCACCCCATCTTCCGTTCACCCCATCTTCCATTCACCCCATCTTCCATTCGCCCCATCTTCCGTTCACCCCATCTTCCATTCACCCCATCTTCCATTCGCCCCATCTTCCATTCACCCCATCTTCCATTCGCCCCATCTTCCATTCACCCCATCTTCCATTCACCCCATCTTCCATTCGCCCCATCTTCCATTCACCCCATCTTCCATTCACCCCATCTTCCATTCACCCCATCTTCCGTTCACCCCATCTTCCATTCACCCCATCTTCCATTCGCCCCATCTTCCGTTCACCCCATCTTCCATTCACCCCATCTTCCATTCGCCCCATCTTCCATTCACCCCATCTTCCATTCACCCCATCTTCCGTTCACCCCATCTTCCATTCACCCCATCTTCCATTCGCCCCATCTTCCGTTCACCCCATCTTCCATTCACCCCATCTTCCATTCACCCCATCTTCCATTCGCCCCATCTTCCATTCACCCCATCTTCCGTTCACCCCATCTTCCATTCACCCCATCTTCCATTCACCCCATCTTCCATTCACCCCATCTTCCATTCACCCCATCTTCCGTTCACCCCATCTTCCATTCACCCCATCTTCCATTCGCCCCATCTTCCGTTCACCCCATCTTCCATTCACCCCATCTTCCATTCGCCCCATCTTCCATTCACCCCATCTTCCATTCGCCCCATCTTCCATTCACCCCATCTTCCATTCACCCCATCTTTCATACATCTCCCAGCCTCCCGGTGTCCTTGCCTCCTCACTCATTCCCCACCTCCCCGCCTCTCCCCCTCCTTGCCATGCAGGTGCTAGCTCGCCTGGCGTCATGGCTGTCAGTGGTGCTGCAGGGGAAGGACAAGCGCGTCTACTCGCCATGCTTCTTACCTGCCTCGTCCACCCACAAACCCTCATTCAACCCATTCACTCCTCCGCCCCCTGCTTCCCTTCTTCCCCTGCCATGCAGGTGCTTGGTCGCCTGGCGTCACGGCTGTCAGTGGTGCTGCAGGGGAAGGACAAGCCCATCTACTCGCCCAGCATCGACAAGGGCGATGTGTGCATAGTGGTCAATGCAGGTTAGTAACCCTCAACTAGCCTATATTTAGAGGTTAGTAGTACCTCCTTATGCCGACTCATATTTGCAGTTAGCATCAGTATAGGGGCCTGCCTATGCTGGAGTTGCCATGTCTGATTCTCACACGTGAGACTTTAGGTTTGAGGCCCATTTTTGGATCAAACATTGGCAAGCTTGTTGCTACTTTTGAGTCTTCTCACGAGTAATGTATTCGTCTGTGCGTCTTTGCGGCTGTGATGGCTTTGCATGCATGTATCCTTGTGTGTGTGTGTGTGTGTGTGTGTGTGTGTGTGTGTGTGTGTGTGTGTGTGTGTGTGTGTGTGTGTGTGTGTGTGCGCGCGCTCGTGCATGCGTATGCATGCTTTTGTTTGTGCATGAAAAACACAGATAAGATTGCAGTAACGGGGGATAAAATACGACAGAAGACATACAGATGGCACACAGGGTGAGGCGGGCGGCACACAGGGTGAGGCGGGCGGCACACAGGGTGAGGCGGGCGGCACACAGGGTGAGGCGGGCGGCACACAGGGTGAGGCGGGCGGCACACAGGGTGAGGCGGGCGGCACACAGGGTGAGGCGGGCGGCACACAGGGTGAGGCGGGCGGCACACAGGGTGAGGCGGGCGGCACACAGGGTGAGGCGGGCGGCACACAGGGTGAGGCGGGCGGCACACAGGGTGAGGCGGGCGGCACACAGGGTGAGGCGGGCGGCACACAGGGTGAGGCGGGCGGCACACAGGGTGAGGCGGGCGGCACACAGGGTGAGCTGGGCAATACACGGGCGGCACACATAGCTTCTGGCATTCGGATGGAGCCATGCAAGTACGGACTCAGAACGTGCAACCGAGGAAATTACCAAATGCCATTTCTAAGCATGTCATATACACTCGTCATATTTACTCAGGAACCGGTGGCATGCATGACTTTAGAGGTGACTTTTGAGTCGACTCAAAAGTCACGTCATATTTACTCAGGCACCGGTGGCATGCATGACTTTAGAGGTGACTTTTGAGTCGACTCAAAAGTCACGTCATATTTACTCAGGCACCGGTGGCATGCATGACTTTAGAGGTGACTTTTGAGTCGACTCAAAAGTCACGTCATATTTACTCAGGCACCGGTGGCATGCATGACTTTAGAGGTGACTTTTGAGTCGACTCAAAAGTCACGTCATATTTACTCAGGCACCGGTGGCATGCATGATTTTAGAGGTGACTTTTGAGTCGACTCAAAAGTCACGTCATATTTACTCAGGCACCGGTGGCATGCATGACTTTAGAGGTGACTTTTGAGTCGACTCAAAAGTCACGTCATATTTACTCAGGCACCGGTGGCATGCATGACTTTAGAGGTGACTTTTGAGTCGACTCAAAAGTCACGTCATATTTACTCAGGCACCGGTGGCATGCATGACTTTAGAGGTGACTTTTGAGTCGACTCAAAAGTCACGTCATATTTACTCAGGCACCGGTGGCATGCATGACTTTAGAGGTGACTTTTGAGTCGACTCAAAAGTCACGTCATATTTACTTAGGCACCGGTTACATGCATGAATTTATGCTCTCGGGTAATTCGGAGGGCTGAAAGAGCGAACCCTCAAGGACCAGATGGCAAAGGACCCAATGAGACCATTCCTAAATCTGTTCACATCTCCATGTGCCCCTGTACGCACACATGCATGTCACTCTTCAAATACATCGGAGGGCTGAAGGAGTGAACACTCAAGGACCAGATGGCAAAGGACCCCAAGGAGGTCATCTTCTTATATGTGCGCATCTCCATATACCCCTGTATGTACGCACATGTGCATGTCCCTCCCCAGGTACATTGGAGGGCTCAAGGAGCGAACACTCAAGGACCAGATGGCGAAGGACCCCAAGGAGGTCATTCGCAAGGCTGTGCTGCGCATGCTGCCTCGCAACCGGCTTGTGGATGTGAGTCTGCCTGGCTGACGTGAGTTTAGGAGGGTGCACCCAAACAATGCTGTGATGCCGTGATATGATGT